GGTCAGACCCAATATCTGGTGGAGTGGCGGGGGTATCCCGACTCCGAAAACTCGTGGGAGTTTGAGAAGCCACTTCGGCAAGAATGTCCAGACGCCGTGGACGCTTTTGATCAGAACGATCAGTACGCCCCGCGCTTCCCGGCAATAGCCAGGGAAGTAGAATGGCCATGAGCTGAGCTCAAGCAGTGGCCCTAAGCTCTTGCGGTCGCAGACACAGAGCTCGCGGGAACGTTAGGGGTTAGACCATGCTTTGCAGGACGACAATCTGAAGGGAGTCGACGGTGTGCTTTGAGTTTGGCAAATTCAAATCGGAGGTGTCGCTCCACACGCACGTCCACTTCCTTGTGGCTCAATTGTAAGTTATACAGTGAGGAAAGGGCCGTTTCACCCATCGCTCAATGAGCACCTCGTCATCTATAGCGCTTCCCTAGGGGCTTGCACTACAGGTATCGTCCGCATTGCGGGTACACGAAAGCCACCTCGTTGAGCACATAGACGAGTGCGATTAACGTCCAAAGGAATATCTTGTGGAACCAAGAAACGAGCTCGAAGAACTTTTCGTTCGGCAAGCCTAGCCTCCGTTATAGCCGGGGGCCCGATGATGTGGACGCGTAGCGATCAGGTTACCGCGTCCTTCGCTTCCACAGCGGAATCCGCCGGGCGGAACCCATTTTCCAAACGAGGGTCAATGACTGATCGTGGATGGGCGCGCATCAGAGCCGCCTACGGGCAGGTGGAAGCTGCCCCCTCTGTGCCTTGTCGAGGTCATTGATGATGACACCACGTCCTTCAGGTGATGAGAAGTCAGGAAACGGACATGGGGTCCGCAAGGCTCGAGCAGCGCTCGTCTCACGCCGCTGGCGCGGCTCGCCTTCCTCGTCATTCCACCCGGGAAAGGAGTGGAGTGTCAGACTCGTAGTCGACCACCTCCACATCCCCAACAAGGTCACTCGTCACTGATAGCGTGCGCGGAGCGCTGTGCTCGGGCTCATCGAGCCTAGGATTTACATCCCTCGATGCCGCGGACACACGGTCCGAAATGGCACCGCGTGCGGTAGACGAAGTTGGGCTCTGCCTGTGAGCGCTGTCGGAACCAGCGTGACTTGGAGACTTCGGTGTCATTGACACAGGTTTCATTGAGAACGGAAGTCGTTTTGTCCCAAACGCAGTGTCTAACGGACACGCAGGCCTCGTTGAAACAATAATCGAATGGAACTGAAAATGTTCTCAATCTTAATGGGTGAGAGTGTAACGGGGTTATACATACCCAGGTAACAGGTGCGTGTGTCACAGCAGATGGGTATGGTGTGATCACACTCAAACAAGAATACGGTACGGGGCTGGATAGCCACTAGTTATATATGTATTTAGAGTTTACTATGCTTATTTAGCGAAATGTCTGCATTTTAAATTAGGCGGCTTTGCCGCAGAAAAAAATAAATAGTCAGTTTTGGATTTAAACGGAAGAGATAATTAGCCTTGGGTTAAGGTTGTAATTACTCTTGCAGTAAGCGGATTGCGATCCGCTCAACTCGTACTTGTCCTGAGTATAGAACGAGAAATTAGTGACTTAATTAACGCTTCCTCAAAGTGCAAAGCTACGGCAGCCCCGCTGCAAGGTAGACCACACCGGGGATCGTACTAAATTTATCGCTTTACGGCAAAAAGCAAAAATTACTGCTACCTATCAAGCACTACGCTTGGGTTTGACTCCACTCTCTGCATCAAACCAAGCTGTATTTCCAAGCTATTTGCATCGGTTCATGTTCCCGTGTCTCAAATTAAATGACTCTGCAAACTCCTGCTAAAAGGGTGGTCTTCATCGACCGCCGCAATTCCAGATTTTTTTATGCGAAAGCCGAGTTTATTCTTATCGGAACACACTCAACTCACTCCCGGCGATAAATCCCGAACCGCTTCCGTGAAGGAAATCCTCACGGCACTTACTCTACCTGCTACGCGAGTCTCAGACCCCGTGCCTATATTTTATCGGTGCGAAGCGTTTTGACAGCCCACCGCAGGGCCCGTGACGATGACCGGCTCGAATGGAAGTGGCTCATGGAGTCCATTTTGCTCAACTGCAAGCGCAAGGGTCACACTGACTATCGCCCAGGCAGCGATGTGATTACTGGAAAGAATCATCAGAAGTCGCTCGTCGCGCTAGTGCAAAGCTCTGACGCGTCTGATTTTGTAGGTCTTTTTCATAAATAACAAATCAAGCGCAATGATTATGCCCTATGAGCACATTACAGGCAGTTACTCTTCAAGAAAGCTTGGGGCATCAGCTATTACGGAGAAGTTACTTTCCATGAAAAATACTGAAAGCAGGCGAAAGTGCCGCTGAATATCAGAGACAATTCGTATACTAAGTGAGGAAAAAAAGGCTTTACAATTCAGCTTAAATAGATGTTAATTCGTTAAGAACATCATCTCATACTGGGTTTCTCAGTATAAATCGCACGACTCAACCATCGAGAAGACAATTTAGCACCTTAAATTTCTGCGGCTTACAGCTTTGCTGGTCCCCATACGACAGCTGCAGCGTCGCATTCGCCGCAAGGTTGGTCGCCTCCCTCTAACGGGAAGCGCGGCATGACGGTCGACCAAGGCTCGTTTGAAAGAACTGTAATGGCCGAAAA